TTTTTTTTTTTTTTTTTTTTTTTAACGCGAATTCTCGTCCATCTGGCGATTTTTCCGAAAACGTACCGTCATGACGGCCGAAAACTGCGTCCGTACACCATTTCGAATCTTTATGTACAAAGTTATGAGAGATAATTCCGTTGGTTTTAAAAAAACTATCATTGTCCCATCTGTCCCCGTGACAAAACCGTTCGACCGCCACCGATTTCGAGGTACCGGACTATGTTTTGTTTTTTTTTTTTTTTTTTTTCTATACAAACGCAACAGCGTACAAATGTGATACCTTTTACTCGTCGGACACGGCTATTGTTGTCGTGGATGCGTGTGAAGTTTTTATTTGAAAAAACGATTCCGAGTACACGCTATAAGCGCGGACACGATATGAATGCGCGGCGCACAATGATTATTACGAGTAGAAAAAAAAACCCGTAGTAAGAAAAGGCCCGGAGTCCGATTTAACGGGTTTGCCGCCAGTAGACGAGGGGTCGATTTGGCGGTGATCATCTTTTTTTGATCCGAATTTTCATAAACCGACAATTATTTCTATAAATTCTCGCATACCTCAAAAAAAAAAGGGGTGTGTGACATTCCCACGGGCGCGACTGGGGGGTGTGCTAGACGGTATTAAGCACTTCGACATTTAAAATCAGCACGGCCGAAAATGCCCAACACGTTGTTTCGTTGCGGCGTCGTCCGCGTTTTTTCATAATTAACGAGCAGAACGAAACGCAAAATAACCCGCGCGGACAATAACGCGCGCGCGTGTATAAAAAATCCAGTTGAAAAAGTTATGGCACGTTTTTTTTTGGTGGAAAAAATCCTGAACAAAATTTTTAGTCACTCGGCGTCAGGTATCGTGTAAAGCGCACTGTAGCGTTACCGTCTCTACGCGTCGCGCGTCTATAAACCTGGCACGAATAATTAAAAAAAAAAAAAAACCAGTCTGCGATTCGCCCCCGATGTCGGCGGACCCGTGGTACCCGCGGACTTTACCCGCGATAACCCGTCGGCCGTTTTTTTATCCGTCCACGCGTGTTCCGGCCCACCGACGTCCGTACGTACACATCCGGTACGCTGCTTCGAACGAAAACGCGCGCGGTCGGAACACGGCCGACGGTGTGATCGCGAGCACTGACTCCAACACGACAGTGTTGCGCGGCGGTCACGGCGGTGACGGACAATACACTCGAATAACGTCTGAATGGTTCGTTTTTTTTTTTGTAATCGGTTGATATTGTTTTAGCGCATACTTTTGACGGTCCGGCGTGCATTTTAATATTTCGTAAGGCATTTGTTTATTATCAATTAGCATATTTCCACTTTTCGTTGAACGTAATTTATTATCGAATATTTTCGTCGCGTCCACGTCCCGTCCCCTTCAATAATGATAATAATGATAATAATGATAATGATAATAATACTACTGACGGTAATACGCCTGTAATATTTCTCGGAGAAAATATACCGGAATTAATATCGCGGAAAAAAAAACGGGTGTGTGTGTGTGACGGTGGAGGGGGGGGGCAGCGGGGATGGGGTAGAAACGCTCTTGACGAACGTCAGAGTGATCAGAGTTGATTGAATTTTACTCCGCCGTCGTCCGGAATGAATGTTCGGGGGCGGATAAAAACCAGAAAAAAAAAATCGATAAAAAGAAATATATACGTACACATATATACATATATTATTTAAAAATCGAACAAAGACCGTTCCGGCGGCACATGTCTGTGTGTTATTTTCGTTTTCGTTTCGATACCGTTGGTTCGTGTCCGGGGACGATTTGCGGTACCCTATACGTACGCGGCGTATTGTCGGTACGGCGAAAGTTGGTCGGCGTGCGCGTCGAAACGGTTCGGCGTGCGCGGTAAATTTTTAAAACTTTTCCGGCCCCTCGGTTTGTGTTTTATTTATTTCCCCCCCCCCTTTTATACCGTGGACAACGCAGCGCCATCGATCGAACACCGCTCGGAATCGTTTTTCGTTGGCATCGGTCATTTGTCGCGATACAGATACACGCACCGAACCATTGCCGTTCCGCTTTTCCCACTCCCCACTTACCCGAAACAGTGGCCCGCCCACGTGCGAACTACGTCTACCTCTTTTTAGATTCCGAGCGTACCGGTGTGCGGCTATTCGTTTTACAACGCCGTCTATTCCTTCTGTTACTTCTATGTGTTCTTTGTTCTAGTCCGCGGACACGTTTTTTCCTAGTAAACTTATTACGATTTTTACGTGTAACGTTTTTTTCTTAAAGCCAAAGTTGTTTAGATTGTACGTTAAATGGGTCGTTTTTTTTTTTTTTTTTGATTTTTGACGTCATTTTTTAAATAAAAGCACTTGAGCGGGAAAAAACGCAGGAAAACGTAAAAATTTCACGATTTCATTGTTTTATAAAAAAACACAAACGACGTTTTTTATCCGGAAAAAAATGTTTTAATCGAAAAATCGCAAGATACCTTTTTTGTTGCCTATTTTGTTTGCTTTCTCGCCGCATCATCGCCAATACTACCGAGCCATTTTTGAGCTTTTAAGGAATTTGAATTTTCGGTAGTTTTTTTTTGCTGTAATTCGGTTATAAAAATACACGTATAGACTTGAAACTCGGTGAACATACTTGTATTGGATTTACCTAGACGCGGTGAAATTTTCATAAATCATCGGACGAACGGTTTTTTTTTTTTCTTAATAGACGCTTCGAAATCAAATTTAAACGAAAATCGCAAAAAAAAAAAAAAATTACGGCACTTCAAATCGTGCGTCGCCGAACTGCGCTCGAAATCGCCTCTCGTCCGAGCAATGCGTTTATCCGTTGCTCGCACACATAAATGAAACGACCGTATGCATCGTACCTACAACAGCGGCCGCTCCCGTCACCAGCATCGGCTCTTCTTCTCGCCGTTGTTCTTTGTTCTAGTTTGCGGACGCGTTTTTATTATTATTATTTTTTTTTTTTTTTTTTTTTTTTTGTTTTTATGTTTGGTTTTTTTTTTTTTCCCATTACGACTTAATGCCATCAACCCATTGTTATATCGGTCCGTATCCGTATTGTCATTACTGCGTAATATAATATTTCGTTCCCCCGTGTCATACGCGGTTTCCCGTTCATTTTTATTTATTTATTTATTTTTTTTTGCTTTTTCCGTCCGTCGTCTGGCGTACATTTCTCGGTATAATTTGTTCGACCGTTATTCCGTGCGTGATATCACCTACATGCATACATATATATACATAAGGTATTTTTATTTTTTATTTTACATTTTATCATTACCATAATAACATGCTGATAATACGAGCTTTACTCTGTTGTTCATCAAATATATACACCGCGTGTACGCATATTATACATATACACGGTGTATTACCGGAGATTTTAAATGAAATTTTCAAGTCCGTGGGGGCGCGCGTTTTTTTTTCCCGTACGGTTTGTTATTTTCGGTGTTCGCCGGCGTTTCGGGCGTTGGCTCGAGTGAAAAAAATAAGCCGTACTGTTCGCCCGGCGGCGGTCAAATCTGTTTTCGTCGCGGATTTTCCAAAGATTATCGTTATCATTATTATTATCATTATTATTATTATTACTATTATTGTTCCGTGACTGTCTGCGACGCATATTAGTTTCGCGCGAAAAATATACGCGCCACGGTGTGTATTCTAATATCACACTGTTCCGGGCGTCGGAGGGACCGATCTCACGGGAGGGGGGATACGTCCCCCCGCCAACAGTCGTTGCATCTGTTCGGCACTATTGCATTAACAATGACACCGGGAATCTACAATACCGCGTATTGCATGATCCGAGTGTGCTTTGCTTAACGCGAACCAATCGTAATTACAGTACCTAAAACATTGGAGTTCGCGTCTGAATCAACGCAAAATATTATACTGTACAGGGTGCTTCACGAAGATACGGCCATGGCAATATATCCGCGGAGATAATAAAGATAATCGAATTCTGTCATTTTTTTTTTTTTTTTTATACGACTCACAAGAAAAGGACTACACGATATTCGTATTGCAATTATTTATTTTTTTATGTTTCAGTAAAGCATTTCTAAAAAAAAAAAATAACTTTTTATTTTATTATTTTTTAACGTTTCCAGATAGCCGTTTTACAGCGTTCATTATTCTGTTGAACGTTTTGACGTATCAACTTTTTATTTTCTTTAAATTCGTAATTTTTAATAATTGTTTTAAGTCCAAAGAAAAGAAGTGTACGCAGTCAATTAGTCGTAATAATAATAATAATAATCAATCGGCGAATGCGAATACAGCCTGCTGCATGATTATAGATACTTTTCTCCGAACTTAAAAAAATTATATTAAAAATCACGAATAAAAAGTTTCTTTTATCAAAGCGTAAAAAAAATAATTGCCATACAAAATATATTTGTAGTCTTTATCCCTGTCAGTAATGTAAAAAAAAAAAATCACAATTTTATTACCTTTATTATCTCCAGAGATACTACAACGGGGATACCGTCGCGGGACACTCTGTACCGTAATCGCGAATTAAATTTTATTTTACCGACAACGCCCGTCCGAATAAAGTTCAATGCGTTTCGTTCGGACGCCGACACCAACTATTCAACCAGATCGCCATCGTAAATAGCAGTGGAGTTTTTATTTATTGTTTTTCTTTTTATTCCGTTAAATGTTATTATTTTCGCGTTACGTTTTTCGAATAATTTTAAAAAGTATTATAATATGTACATTGGTGTCTGACGGACGATTTGCGCACGCCAGGGTGACCGTATTTCAAAAAAAAAAAAGAAAAATTTCAGTAATACGCATTCAAAGTACGATTTGTTAATTATTACCTAAAAATTATTTTTTTTTTTTTTTTTTTTTAGTAATTTTTCATAATTATGCCTATATTATTAATTGTTTTTTTTTTTCAATATACCCGTATTTTTTAATAGAAGTATTATCGCCGGTATCGACTCTTTTGGTTAGATTAGGTTATTGTTCTTCACGAATACTATCGCATCCACTGTCATAATCTATAACGAATGTTTTCGCCAACAAATCTATTTCGTTCAAAAATAAGATACAGTTTTAATTACGTTCCTACGTCAATACTATAGAATATTTGTATCTAATTAAACGAAATAAGAATTAATACGGTACGATTGGCGTAGACGTGAAAAAAAAAAAGCAGGACAAAAAGAGTCCTGAAAGAAGTTCGTCGGGACAACAGCAGCACACTGCGCTGAAAAAAAGACGATCTTGCATAAAACCGGACGTAAGGTGCGCACTCACTGTGCGCCCTTCACGCATGAAAAAAAAAAAAAAATATAAGTTTTTTTTTTTTACCGCTGGAGGGGAGATTTTGCTAATAGACTCCGAATGCGCATTTCGGTACCCACATTCGATCTTCATAAAAAACAACAATCGCCGTTTCAATCCGAGTCCGTCCTGCCGGAATATTCCGTACCCGCGTGTTCGCGATTGAATTATATTCCGTTGGAATAATCGATAGAACGCGACCGTGCGCGCGTCAACGCGGCGCTACCGCCGGTTTGTGAATATTCGACACGAATACTCCAACACGAAAATCATGCAAAACCATTTAATTTATTACAATGCGCCCGTTTAATTTCAAGTTAGTCGAGACGTTTAGCAGCGTATTAGCCGCGATTTCACGTAAACGCAGTTACATCGGTACCCCAGAACCTCTGCAGTGTATACATTAGGAGGGTACTTAATATAAGCTGCAGCTTCCCTCGAAATAATACCCTCGGCTCGAATAAGATAATAATAATAATAGTAATAATATTATAACGAGAGACGCCGAAATTCCACGAAATCAAACCTGCAACGCAGATCTACGTAATTATTATTCGCGTAAAACGGCCGACAATGTTAACACGGACGAATCGAAATATCGATTTTTTCACCCGTTGATGTCGCGCCCAAAGTGACCGTTCGTGCGAAAAAAGTGACCGAATGCAAAACCATGAAATATGTTCGCATGACCGGGATATAGGTATTCCATCCGTACGTATGATATTACCACGTGTTCGATGTGCGTACGAAATGAGTGACCGAGCGGTTCGAACAGTGTACACAAACCATTTAATACCGTAATTTGAGTTAAAATTAAAATTGAATAATTTTTAAGTGTGAAAACGTAAAAATGTCACCCGGTTTATTTCGGCATAGTGGCATACAGTAGCGTAACTGGATAAAAATCTATGGGGGGGGGGGGCAAAATATTTTAACCATCATAACCACAAAACTCTGAGCTTTTCCCTCGGTTTAAATATATTTTAGATTCTGAGAGGAGCGTGGAATGTATTAGTGTTACATTGACGTTTATTTTATTACTTTTTACTGGACATTTCGCTCTGATCAAGTGTGGCACATTCTCTGAAAGGAAATGTTACTGGATTGGTACTTTTTTGATGGTTCCCAGGGGATTCCATAATAAACGGGAAAAAATAAGAAAAATCTTCGAAATGTATTATTTTCAAACCGTGAGTATTACGGCCTTTTAAAACACGTATAACCGAACTCGGCTCAGAATCGTTTTTCGTTGGCAACGGTTAATCGTTGCGTACAGATATACATTTAATTCCCTATCTACCTTCCAAATTTCTCACACGAAACAGTGGCTCACCCGTCGTGCGAAGTACCCATGTCTATTTGTTTTAATCGTACGGTTTGTATACGGTACAACTAATTGTTTGTTTTTACGCAAGTTTTAAAACTCATTTTATGGTTTAGAAAAAAATTATATGTAGCAGGTACCCATATTGTTAAATAATATTAAGTAACTACATAAGAGTTCACTAATAAAAAAGGTGCTGTGATAAGTTTAAAAAAATAATTAGTATTTAATATTATTTACACATAACACTTGTTGATTATAAAATATTATTTTATAACTAGTGAATATAATATTCTTTTTTAAGAAGATTTAACGATTTGTACTGTGGGATTATCGAAGAAGGGGGGGCGGTCAAAATGATACTTTTGCCACATGGCAAAAAATGTCTGGGTGGAAAGTGCCCGTTTGCTCCCCCCCCCCTTCCTAAATAACAACGCTGCGACGTTATATACTATTGTTTTCGTTATCCGGTTTTTGGCGAATAACAATTCACTTTACGCGCTTATTGCTATTAATACTTACTCGTGAATATTAACAAAGCACATTTATAAACACATTATTAGCGGCTATAGTCTTGTTGAGTTTTCGAATACATTTTTCGAACGTAAAATATCATTAAAAACACTTTACGGCCGATTAATTTTGAACACTTTAAAAATACATTTTTATTGTTTTGTTGTCCCAGTATGCAAAATATGCCTGTTCGCGTTACCGTTAAATTATTACAATCGGTTAAGCAGTTTTCGAGCTTGTCCGTATTACACACATGTAGAAAAAACTATTTTCTCTTTATTATATTAGCGTGGGTTGTATTATTATTGCTGTTACCCTTGTTGCATATTGTCCGTATAACTAAGTAAAATCAATTAATTAATAGTTTTGAACTACGCATAGGTACCGTTCTAAAAAAATGTTAATTGAATTACACTCCGATAGCAACGCATAACATGTATTTTAATAATCGTCTGTCTATATTACGTTGAAATCCTTAAACCGTACGGCTCATATTGCAGCGCATTATTGCCCCTGGTGTCCAGATAAAAGCTCGTTTCTATTTAACTCCGCGTGGAATTATTTATAATATTGTAATCCTCCCGACGGTTTCATTTAAATTTAAATACTCTCGTATCGCGGGCATTTTATAGCCACTTGTTAATATTAACATTTTATATTATTCTATACTATACTGTTGTACTATATTCTCGTATTGATTTATGTATTTATTCTTTAATCAAGTAAGTACTTGCCTACCTATATAGGAATTCAAACGGAAAACAAACTTCATGTTTAATAATACTCGAATTAAAAAAAAAAAAAAAAAAAAATGACCTCCCTAAATTATCGCCCTACGAAAAGGTGCTTCACATGAAAATCGGNGTACTTGCCTACCTATATAGGAATTCAAACGGAAAACAAACTTCATGTTTAATAATACTCGAATTAAAAAAAAAAAAAAAAAAAAAAAAAAAAAAATGTATATCCCGAAACGTTTAACACAGATATTCTGCACGTCGGAATATGTAAAATAAGAAAAAAGAATTTACAATAAATAAGTATTAAACGCAAGATATTGTGAAAAAAATAAACCGAATTACTTCGCTCGATTGGTGGGCCACTGTGGTAGGTGAGAAATTGTTAAGGTAGACGGGAAATTTAATGTATATCGGTTGTACGCATCGATTAATTATTGGCTATTGATAAAGATAAAGAATCCTGAACGGAGTATCACGAAAAATCCCGAGAAAATACAAAAAAAAAAAAAATGACCTCCCTAAATTATCGCCCTACGAAAAGGTGCTTCACATGAAAATCGGAGCGACATTTCTGGAGAAAAGTTATTCGGAGAAAAAAAAAACCATAATTGTAAAACCAAGATACTCCTCGATCCGCTTAAAATCTAAAATGCAGTATGATATAATTTGCAAGTCTATTTTTTAGTATATTGCATGGATAAGAAGGTCTGAAATCAATATGAATGTTGAGTTTTGTAAATGTGCGTAAATTCTGTTAAACCGGGTATTTAAATGTATCTATATTTTTTATCGTATAAAACTAAAATATTTTAGATTCGTTCCGTAGCGAGGGATCTATTGGTTTTATTGTGTATGGTTTTTTTTTCTGTCTGTATACAACTTTTTGAAAAAAAATCGTGCTCCGAAGTATTAAATATAGTATCTTTTCTGAAAGGTAATTTTATTCAGTTGGTGCGCTGCGTTGTAGAGGTCATTTTTCGATTTTCTCAAGAGTTTTCTCATCAAATTTGGATAACCCAAAAAATAAAACGAGAAAATATAAGAAATGTAGTTATTTGTTAAAATATATTACGGTTTTGTTTTTTTCCGAGCACAACGTTTCTTTCCAACTTTCAAAGTTTCGCTCCAACTTTTCATGATAGCAATGTTCTTAAAAGGAAATTTCACTAGGGAAGTACTTTAGAGTAGTCATTTTTCTAGAAAATGGGAAAAACAAGGATAAAACATGGAAAAACTTATAAAACCTGGGAAAATTAGACAAATTTTATTAAAGAAAATATATAAAGCCATTTGGTCATTTTACTAAAAAACGACATATATATTGTTGACACTGTATCACTATCAACTGAACTACGCTTGACATTATTTTTTCGTTAGCAATGGTTTATTGCTGCTTACAGGTAAACATTAAATTATCTATTACAGTGGCTGCATCCAAACCCATTATCCTAGGACGTCTTTTTGCGACTTGCGTTTGCTACCTGAAATATTGCGCCAATCGAAAAATGACAAGCTATTTATTTTTTTTATTTTAATATAACACAGTCACTGTCGAAGAAAACCGTATTTGATATATAAAGTATGTTTCATAATAATTGGGACAAACCAAAAAAGACGATGGTTTTTCGTTGGTTACAGGTAAATCAAATAGCTTTATGTATCCCATCATCCCAACTGTCCACCCACAACAGTAGCCGGTCCATCCCCAGTGTCATCAGCTCATTTTTAGTTTCATAATAGTGGAAAGTTTATTCATAAAATTTTTAAAAATTATAATATTTAAAATACTTCTCAGCATATTTATCATTTTTAACGCCTATGATGAGATTTTATTGCGTCGATAAATAATCGTAGAAACGTGTGCCAGGATTCTTGATTTATTTTCAATCATTTGGACTTTGAGGGTAGGATATAGTTATTTTTACATCTCACCTTTGGTTTATACGCATAAATGTATAATATTATCACACGGAAAAAGGGTGGAGGAAATGATTCGATCGGAATTACTGTTACACTTGTGCCTTATTAAATATTAAACGTATATTTGTACAACCCAACACTCTCGCCGATAAAAATTCGAACGTCTGTTGCTTTAATTTTATTATTTATAAGTAGATAACGGATTTATATGCGCTTAAAGTTCACAAAAAATCGCTCACAGATGCTTACAAAAAAAAAAACCCAGAAAAAGCACTTTACAAACATTTGAAAAAGCAAAAACGGTAGAGGAATTAAACGAGGTTTAAAAGCCTTAATGACTCTTGCTTAATAAATACTTTTTTGTTTGAAGGCTACACAATTTAATATTTTTCGAATAAAATCGCCCGTTTATATATCGTGTTTAATTAAAATATTATATCTAATATTCGAATTATAACGTGTCAATCATTTGTGTACAATGTAAGAAAGTTTCGGCTATAGTTATAATAGCTGGCCGTTGGAGGCGGATACTTTTAAGACTCCGCTACCGATTTCGCTTTTTCAAATATGAGCGGTTTTTCCGGGGCTTTTTTAAACGCTCGCTTGATGGGCTCGGAGTGCGTATACATGAATATAAGTCACGGGTCCGACGCGTGTTATTAGATTTTACGTCGGTACATAATGTAATAATAATAATAACCTATTATAATCGTCTCTTTCAAAAGTCCACGATGTCGGCGTCCCGCGGGGCGCGGTTTTTTTCCCCGTATACCGTACACGTGCTGTATATTAAAAATATTAAATGTCTTTATCATTGCGCGCCGATAAAATAATAATAAAAAAAAAAAAAAACAACAACAGCAACACGGTTATAATCCGCTTTTAATTTAATTCAAAACGCGTAGGTATTACGACGAGTAGATTTATTAAAGTTCAAAATCGAATTACCCGGGCGGGCGCAACGTCTCGGGCGCGTCGCGCTATCGATTTTGAACAATGCCATACGGTTCGGGCGCACGCGGCTGAATATTCGTTCAATTTCTTCTAGACAGATACGTAGACGCGTAGGTACATATTAATATTATATTGTGTATTATACACTGCGCGTATTATTATAATAAGTAACACGGTAAACACGTCTTCTCCGTGACGTTCCCCGGAAGCACTCGATGAAATAAGTTTACATTTTTAGGGGAAAAAAAAAAAAAAAACAAAAATGAGTAGAAGGAAAAGTAATTTGTTTTATTATTCGCGCTCGTTTTCGAGGAAAGACGCGCGCGCGATGGAAGAGAGCGATAACTGTTTCGCGGAACGCGCGCGCCCGCTGCAGTATTATTATAATTTTTCGTATTTTTCGCGAACGGAAATAAAAAATCCTTCCGGTCGATTACCCGACGAAAAAAACTGTGCACTGTGCACAGTATACGCGCATGGGAAAATGAAAAAAAAAAAAAAAAAAAAACAAAAATTTTAAACAAACGCGAAATAATACATTACAATGTACGATGTTAACGCGAAAACAATATAAGCGGGTGTACATGTTGCAGCAGTTCAGACGCACTTTCGCGCCGCGCGCAGTCCGCCGCCGCCGTCGAGGGCCGGTGATAAAACCGTGTGCGTTTTCACGAACTGTTTTTTTCTTCTTTTTTTCCTCATTCGAACCCTAAAAGTAAATCAACCAATTAGTATTACGTCCGGTGGTGCGACAGCGTTAAAATAAAAAACGCCGCCCTAGGATAATGGGGACGGGCGCGGCCGCCGTTGCAGGCGGACAGTCGGTGTTCGGTAGGTCGCAGAAAGGAATCGTTCCGTGTGTACGTATACGCATTTACATGTAAGCAACGATAGACCGTTGCCGGCGAAATGATCCGTTCTGAGCGGAGTTCAGTTGACAGTGACGCTTTGTCGACGACAGTATATTACACCGATTTATGGTAAAATAAATGAATACGCGTTATTCTTTAACACTGCATAGGTTTTTCCGTTTTCCCCGTGTTTTTCCCCGGTGTTACACGTTTGCCAGCGAACAAACGCTTGGGAAAAGTCACTGCCTTAAATTATCTCCCTGCGCCGAATCCCTTTCAGAATAGGCGCTACGCTTACGAACCGGAGAAAGATGTCCGGTAGAAAAGTTGTTGACGGGGGGGGGGGGGGGGAAATAACAAACATCGTTTTTAAAACCGTAAGCTTCTCCGCTCCACTCGGAATCTAAAACAGAGTAATGCAGACGCGGCGGTGGATTCAAGGGATGGGGGGGGGGCGAAGGGCCGCGGTTATATCTGCAGTCGTGACAATATGTGTTAATGACGATTACGAATCGTCGTTCGAATTGGCGAAAAGACACCGACAATAATTATCACGGTAGTTGATAACTTTGGTACCCGACTGTCCGATCTTACCCGTATTTGACATTGAATTTAAATGTATTGACAGTTTTATTAACATTCACAAAGGAATCGATGCAACACCGGAAGACGTTCGAAATATCTTTTCTGAACAACAGCCTAGGTGTTTACAATTCTTTCCCCTATAATAATATATAAACCGAATCCATACATTTTAAGACAGTTTCTTTTATTCTGTAATATTTCAACTGTTTCAAACTTTTTTTTATGAATTATAAATTATGAATATTATTTACCTATAAACTAAATTATACTTTAAAAGTCTTCAAATTAGTTAAAAGTTCACTTTATTTTTGATGCCTAACATCAAATTTTATTTATAAATCGCCATTACAGTGTCGCGTTTAAAATAATCCATTCGACAATATTATTCGAAATGGAACTTTCATTTTTTTTACCTATAAATCATTTTTTCCCTTGACTTTATATATTTTTTTTTTTTTATTTATTTATTTTAGATTGCGAGCGAAACGAAAAGTCCATCGGTCTTAGTATTCTACAGTGATGATGCGTGTTTGATGTCCTTTTATATTTATTTTCTATGATCGAGTATATATTTTATACTTGGACGTGGGAAGAATTTTCCAATATTTTCAACCTTTCTCATTTATATGGGTAGTATACATTTGATCTATTTCGATATTTTACTGTGGATACGTTCTAACACATTATATTATATTATTATATGTTATCGTATCATAATATCATAGAACGCACCTAATACTATTTTAGTGTGTATATCTGAGCATGGGAGATGATTTGCGCGACGTGGCCCATTGAAGATGGGAAATTTAATGTATTGTTATTATTGTTTCAATTTCTGATGAATTTAAAAATAATAATAATAAATAAAGGTACGTATCCAATCATTTAACACCATTTTTTTTTTTCTAGTTAAAATATTATCTAAAAAAGACTGAAAATAATCATAAAGATAAATCACAAAAACAGTATACTGGTAAAAATGTTTATAAAAAAAATCTATTCTAGGATAATGGGGACGGGTGCAGCCACTGTTATAGGTGGGGAGTTACGGGTTGGGAAGGTAGAATATAGACGGGAATTCAATGCATATACGTCACAACGACAAACAATTGCTAACGAAAACACTATTCTGAGCGGAGTGTTGCTCTGTCAACAATATTTATCTCATAGTTTGGTAAAATAATTACATATGCGTGAAAAAATTTTTTTTTTTTTTTTAAATATATAATCTGTAAACTATTTTTGCAATAATAATTTGTGCTATGGTTTTAATAATTGACATGAGTCAATTTTTAATAATAGGAGTAACCCGACGGCTACACTTTACGTTGATTTAGTATTTTTAAATTATTCTGTATATAATATATATTTTTTTTTTGTTTTTTTTTTTTTTTAGCCTTCTTCGGAGATTATCAGGTATTGAGTCCGAGTCGAATGCTGAAATTATTGGGTTAGGGTGGTTTCCTAATCGTGAACGATAGCGTTTATATATAATTGAGGGCATTTATTCTGCAACAGTTTTGATGTTTAAGTCTGTGTGTATGATTGGATACACAGGAAGGGGCCTTAGTTGACCTGCGCAAGGTGATCGATTGGAATCTTTGTAACATTGACATTTTCTTTAATAATATTTATTTAATATTGTGCCTGTTTCTCCGTTCTCCCGGCTTTCCCATGGTTTTTCCCCGGAATTTCCCGTTTGTTGAGAAAACGCCTGGGAAAATAAAAAAATATTTACCTCCTTCAAGTGATTCCCCAATCGGAATTATTTTCAGAAAAAGTGCTATCACAGTCAAAATCGGAGCAAAACCGATAGAAAAGTAATCCATAGAAAAAAAAAATAAACACTATTTTAAAACCAATACATTCCTTGTTTCACTCAGAATCTAAAAATAAAAAATGAATTTGGGTACAACGTTTTAGGCACAGATCGTATTGATTTTGTCGTCTATATTATAATATGGCGCGGAATGGAGAATTTGGAAAACCGTATTATAATACAATACTGCACGCTTCTACGCTCTGATTTTCGCCATACACCGAAACTTAATAAAAAATGAATAATATAAAAAAAAAAAATAAATAAAATATAACGCGTACACAATGTTATAATATATTGTGTATACACAGCGGCGTTCAAATATAGGGTTGAAGATTTTGCGTCGTCGGAAACCCCGAAAAAAAAACTTATTCTTACATAATATTGGATTAACTTAGTTTATACAACATTTGCTTTCCCGATACATACAGCGCGATTAACGATGACGAGTTCGGGTTCGAGACCCCAAACCCACCTCCCCCGCTTCCCTGCCGTCCCGTAGTAATCTGAAAAATTTGAATGTTAAATTTACCGCCATAATATTATACTATTTTGTAAATCCAAAATAATATGTTCAGCCCATCGTATCGTAATATTATTTACAATAATCATTGTGATGTTGTGTGCAATTTTCGTAAAAAGGAAATATTCATTTTATTTTTCGCGCTGTACACGGTCCCCAAATAGATGACGGGCGGGGGCTTCTCTAAGTGTACATACTGCAGTAGACAGTTTTCGGCCTTTTGAATTCGGGTTCGCGTAACGGCAAAGAAATCGCCGACCGGTGATCCGGATTTCAAGTGCATAGTATCTTTTCTGAAAGCGAGTATTTTCTTGTTTCCGCGTTAAGGAAGTCGCTTTTGATTGTCCTAGCCTTTTACAAACCCTCAAGGGTATAAACAGATGTATTTGGGTATTTTTGTTTTTTCACGAATTATCTTGTCGACGACACGGATGGCAATTCGATCGTCACGGACAAAAGAACTGTTATTATTAATGTTATTACCATTATATTGTACGCAATTTTCTATCGATAACAGAGCGTTTGCGGGTCAACTAGTAATAGTGTTTATAGATCAGCGCGGTTACCGACCGGGGGGGTGGGGGTGGGGATATCCTCCCCAGAGAAGAATTTTGACATTTGTTCGATTTGGGAAACATAATAATTCACTTCACGATTTTTGTTTTTTCTTGATATTTTATTATTTTCGAGGAGGGGACATGTCCCATCCTTCTCCGTCCCAGTGAGCGCCCATGAATTTGGATGTGGCACGGGTGGGGTGGGGGGGGGTAATATAAAGTAATGACGAAATAACGAGAATAGTTTTAATTTTAAAATAATCATGCCGTTTTGCAATCAGTAAAAACGCGGAATGGACCGCCGCGGGTGCAGGGGTTTATCGAATGACCGCGAATCGTACGCGCGATTAACGCGTGCCGAACGCCGGGGCCGTCGGTACGGGCGGAACCGCATCGCGTTTTCGCAGTTCGCGGCGCCGCGGCCGCGTAGCGAACCCGGACGCGCGGAACCGCGGCGTTTAATCGCGTCGGTGCCCCGGCGACAATGTGCGCGCGTGACGGAAACGCCGCCGCGGTTTCGCGTATAAGTGTGTCGTTTATTGTGATATTTCGCGGATCGGGCGATTTTAATTGGATTTTATTTAAAGGGTCGGGAGTTTGAACCTCTCCCGGCGGCGCGCGCCTCCCCCGAAACCGAATTATTCAAACAAATAAAACGTGTCCGGAATACGATTAACCGCGGCGGCCGCGTTGACCGGCCGAACGAAAGTCAAGCGCGATCAATGCGCGCGAGCGTGTGTGCCCGCCCGTCGCGCCGCGTCCGCGTAACACAGCGGACGTGATTGCCGTATTCGCCGAAGTACGAGGTCTGGCTATTAAACAACGAGACTGCTTATGAAAAATGGTTTTATTTGTTTTTCATGTTTTTCGTCACACGTCGTTTTCGGCAAGTGAAAAAAACATGTTCGTTTCAAAACGCTGCAGAAAAAATACTAATGCACCAACAAAAACCCAATTTCGTACCGGCACAATAGACACTTCCAGCTAACCAGCGCTGTATTCGGTTTTCCCCTAACCTTTCTGGGACGCTCTCTGCGCGCGCAGTCTCGTTATTTAATAGTCAAACCTCGTATACGAGCGCCCGCGTCTTTTGTGCGCCGTACCGTAGCGCCGGCCTAATGCGTAGACATCGGTATTTGTTTACCGGATTCGGCCGGTCTCTCGACGTTTTTCTGTCGGTTTGGTTTTTGTTTTGGTCTTTTTTCGGTTCATTTTTTTTTTTTTTTTTTAATAGAACCCGTAACGCGTCGGTTTTCTATGCGTACCGCAGTGTTTCTCTCGTCCGAAGGCGACATCGAACGACGCAGAAAATACAATGCGACAACGTTTATTCGGGCGTAACCGTTTCCGGCCGTTCCGTAATAACCGTTTTCGGTCACCGGTGTAAAAGCCGCGAAAGAAAAACGCACGGCGTACATTACAAAATAAACGTTATCGGATCCGTACGGGATCGCCCGACGTGAGATCGTACGGCTATTATTGATCGCGTTAAAATGATATCAACCGTTGTTAATCTAAACGTTTGCTTTTTGATGAATTTATCCATTATCTTTCTAAAAATGTTGTACCTTTATAATATATTTATAATATACAGAATTTTCTGTTGTTTATAAATTACTTTTGCTAACCGGCTACTGCAGAGTCGTGTATAGTGTGTGTGTGTGTGTGTGTGTGTGTGTGTAATGCAGTCGCGTAGGTACTCATGTGTTAAAATGACAAAATATATTAAAAGTAATCGCGGTAAACGTATGCTAGTGTTTGAAAATTCAAATCTTTTGTGAACGTCATGCATACAAAAAGAAAAAAAAAAACATAATTAAATTGTGTGCACATCATGTACTTTGGTTTTATTTTTTTTTTTAATTTAAAAATCTTACATATGTGACGAAAATAGTGGCCGAAAAGAGTAAGGTTTATTTTAACCGAAAAGGGTCCCACTCATTTTTTTTGAATGAAGAAACGTTACTGCATGAAACACTGTTTTCAATATAATATAATAACTGTTTAAAAACTAATTCTTGATTTCTATGACACAATTCCAAAGATTTTGAAAATGATATTCAGAAAACTATACACAATACAATTACAAGTTAATAATTATTTACCATATTATTATTATTATTATTTAATACCTATTATATACTTTCAAGTAAGAAATTACGGTGAGAGTTCGGGAGCGTGCAGCTCACAGTTAACAACCGAGATTTAACGAAGAAACGAACCATATCTATACTTATTATTATTTCTTAACTAATTTATTAAAAACTAAATTTAAAAACGAATCTGACTCTTGTAATTATTCTAGATGATTAATATTAGGTTGTTGAATGGAAAAATTGCATAAAAAACATTTTTTTTTTTTTTTTTAATTTCATATTTAAACTTAAATTTTGTTTTGGATGATTTTTAAATTGAATGAGAAAGTGTTGAATACGTTTAAACCTCTATTTGTATAAAACAAAAAAAATGTTGCATCAGTGTTATAGAAGGTTTGTTTATTAACGACAATCGAAATAAGCATTTCTTGTATTTGTTTTTAGTATTTTAAATGGTATTCTATTTTTATGAATGTCTCTTATAGAATTCGTTTCGTTATAATTGCTCCAGAGTCAAGATTTTTAGCATTCTTGTAAAATGTACAAACGTTTTCCGCGAATCGGTTTACAAACGTGTCAATAGTTATGTTCGATGGGATTTCTATGACGATTAAAAAAAAAAAAAACTTACGGACATAATTCACACGGTGGCCACTGTTGTAGGTGAAAAGTTTAGAAGGTAGCGGGGAAATTTAATGCGTATATCGGTACGGATCGATTAACATTTGCTAACGAAAAACGACTCGGAGTGGAGTTCGGTTAATAGTGTTGCTTTGTCAGCAATGTATAATATATAATATCAGGTTAAATTAATTACATAATATGCATAATATATATATTTTTTTAATGATATTTGTTTAATATTTTACTGAATTTCCCGTTTTCCCAACGTTTTTCTCCATTTATTGAGAAAACTCCTGGAAAAAAAAAATGGCCTACTTTAAGTACCACCCTAACCCCCAGTCAGATATCCTTTCAGAAAAAGTGCTATAATTGAAAATTCATAGAAAAATTGCCGGTAAAAAATTGTTCACAGATAAAAAATAAACATAATTATAGAACCTGTATTGGCCCGCTCCGCTCAGAATCTGAAATTTATCGAGATTTATCATTCTGACTATAATACCCGTATGATGGACGTTGTTCAATACACGGCCACCGTCGATTTATCGATTTTTCGGTTATTTTTAAAATGTACGAAACACGAAACAAAACCAGGAACAGATTAATTACCGTCCAAAAGGAGTTGAGTGTCGTCTTATCAAACATTTTTTCACGTACGAACGCGTTATGTAAGAAATATCAGTCTCAAATTTTTCATTAAAATATTAAATGTTTTTTGTTTTTTTTATATTCTATTTTTTCTGTTATTTTTAATGTTAGATTTCCAATTAATATTAAAATATGTTAACTATTACACATTATTCTTATTTTTTTTTTTTTTGGTGTGTGTCGCAAAATATGCAATTTTTTAATGGTGTGTCGTAATTCGTAAGACAAAGGTTCAGGAATACTACGCCGGTCTATAGAGTAAAATAGAATAACTCGAAAATCGGGGTTATGACTGTGTATATCTACCGGTACCTTATACAGGCGGTTATAACAACTGCGCACTTTCAGAAAGAGGTCGTCGTTCACTTCCGCTCGGGCTTTATTATTATTATTAATACCGTACACATTTCCAAAATCAAACCGTTCGATTCCGCACACGCAGAATTATGTCAATTACACAATCTCCTACAGTGTATCGTTTGTAGTTGTAATAACCCAGAATTAAATAACATTTAACCAGAGAATAATATTCGCGTACTGCGTTTCTTCATTAAACATCAAAGTGCGCAGTACACAAAGGTAATAATAATATTATGTGATTGTATAATACAATGTCGATACCTCGGTACCCATTCTCTGTAATTGACGGCTGTGGTAAACGTAGAGACAGCCTGAACTCAGCTGACGGTGAACATCGGCGGTGGAGAAAATCCGGCGGAATCGTAAAGTTAAAATACGAAAAATATATACGTGATAATATGATAGATTTAAAAAAAAAAAAAACACCAAAAAATCGAACCCGAAGTGTCGGAAATTCGAATGTTCGGATTATCGGATAATCCGGATTTATGTCGCATCGCTAATAATTATCGTATAATATTGATAAATCGAGAGAGAAAGAACATTTTTTTTTTAAAAAAAAACACATACACGCACATTCATTGGTCGATATTTGACTGCGTGATGGACTCGACGAGTAAGTCGCGTATTAGACGAATATTCGTGTGCGGCAAACGGGTATTTGGAATGATCACGGGAACAGTGACGTCGCGCACATGGTCGAAAAGTCCTACGCGGCGCACAAAAATACGCCTAAATAGTAACTACGCGACACTGCGAAACGCCAACGGAAACTCCGTTAAAATAACGTTTTACGAAAAATGTACACGGAGGATTAATTTGAAAAACGAATTAAATTCAAATTAAACGCATACAATGACGCACGTACACGACGGGTGTGCGGAAACAAATCCGAAACCGGTCTAATCGTATCCGCGCACGATTTAGATTTCGACGTCGTGCGTTTCTCGCGAAAACCGTCGGCCGTTTATACCCGTTTATTATTATCGTTATTATTTATTATTTATACACCCGTTTATTTGCCCATTCGCGTTTTTCATACGTCCCGGCCTTTGAACGTGAAAAAATAAAATGTTATCTCGCCGTATACGCGGGGCGCCGCCGCGCCGTTCAAAACTGTAGCGTACGCGTTGCATCAGTAATTTCCGTTCGGTTTTTTTTTTTCTTATCGTTCAGTTGGTATCCTATTCAAAATAAAGGGTCGATCGTTCGGAACCGCAATCAACTTTCGGCCGACAGCTTAAAACCAACCGTCTTTATATTTACGTTCCATTAAAATAGCATGACGTTTTCCTTCTGTATCGTAGTATATGTATTGTAATAATTATTGTGCGTGTGTATACGGTATTATATGCGCGTACCACTGTACAGTGTGTAACCACCGTAGACGTAAATACGAGAAAAAATATAAGAGTAGATATTCTGTAATCCAATCCATTTTACAAGGGAAATGTTCGGGAAAAAAAGAGGAACCGGCAGTAGAAGAATATCACGGCTTCGGAATCCAAGAGTATGGTTTGGAAATAGCCAACATTCGGAATTGGATAGGCGCCTGAAGAAAAAGTAAACAGGAGGGGGGGGGGGCTTAGGAAGGCTTAGTCATCCCTGAGCCGTTTCAACCCCTACGTATGACATTTGAGTTGATTTCGTCTAATTGTATACACTCTAAAACCTATTGGGCTCGAGCACAACAGTGTATTTTGAAACTTTTTTACGCCTACGGTTATTGTTGAAAAGCAGTGGAACTCGGTGTACCGGACCAAAATTTTCGTTGGCGCCAGTGGTGAGGAATAAATATAGTAAGAATGATATTTTGTAAAAAAACAAAAAAATATAACTACGCAAAAAAGACGGACACACTTCGCACGATGGGTGGGCCATTGATGTAGGTGAGAATTTGAGAAATTATAAGATAAAATTTGGTTTATATCTGTGCGAATGGTAAACGATAAACCATTGGTAACGAAACACGATTCGGAACGAAGTTTATTGTATACACGCATGCGTAAATTTCCCTACGTTTTTTACCGGTTTTTCTCATCTGTTATGAAAACCCGCGGGAAAATCGAAAAACGTCCTTCTCAAAGTCTCCTCACAGTCAAATTTCCTTTCGGGAATAGTAATACACTTGGAAATCGGAGCGAGATCTCTGGTAGAAAAAGTCGTTCCACGGATTAAAAAAAAATAATAATAATAATAAACATCATTGCAGTAAGACCACAACGCATTTATCGCCACGTTACTCCGAATCGGAAATTGTACTGTGAATTATTATGTAATATGGTTTATGTAACATAATACTCGAGCTTTTTTGCCCGAGTATTTTTTAACTACTTCGGCCCTATTGTTGAAAAGTTATATGACGTATTACTGTGCAACACTACTATACTGTTCCCACACGACCGACGACGCGCGTGTACGTACAAACGGACAAAACGTTACGGATATCCGAATTTATAATGTATTTTTTCTCTCACTCTCTTTCTCTCTCTCTCTCTCGCGCTCTCTCTAAGGTAATGTAATATTATTTTAACTTGTTGATTGGACGTGTTTTCGATCGCGTTCGGAACATTTCGTATTGTAAACGTATACTGCGCGTATTATTCGCGTTTTGGACGGTTTATTAATAGAAATACTGTAATAATGTAAATTGTTGTAAGTTGTTTTTTTTTTTTTTTTTTTTAATATTTCTGTGTTCCGAATCGAATACGTTTTCGATTTTAGGAGAAAATGGAAAAAAAAAAAACCACTACGAGTAATATATTATACAACGTGTGTGTGGGAAGTGGTTTTATATTACTAATTGCTCGGTAAACGAATTCGTTCAATTGTCGAACGTTGGCGACGTTAAAAAAAAAAAAAATTACGATTGCAATAATATGGGAGTAAGACCCGAACGTTTTTTCGCTAGGTAACGCTATTATTATTTTTAGCGCGGATAAACGAGAGGAGAGTATATTTCGGAGAAATTAATCAATACCTATAATACGTGAAATAAAATAAAAACGTGTATTTTGTCGTGTTGCACGATCTTTCGACGGACTAAATAACCAATCAAAATTGTATTTACAGAAATAATAATAACACGTTAAAAAAAAAAAAAAAAAAGAACAACCGAACACTCGAATATTATAATGCAATTTATAACGAGAAAATTAATATCGTACAATGTTGTATTGCGCGGAGGCGGGGGTGAGGAGGCACTTGTAATTTATTGCAGGTTATATTCCGTTTTTGCACAATTAAAAACACAAATAAATTAATAATAATAATAATAATAAAATAATTGGAAATTATCCGTTGCGTTTCTATACCGAAACCGCGGTTTTTACAACAATATTTATTACGGGTTTTTTTCTTGCAATTAATAATAATTTCCACGCTTCCTTATTGCGATCGACGCGCGTGTGGTGATGAGTTTTGATATTTTTTTGATTAGCCAACAATTTTTCCGTCGTTTATTATCGTTTGGTATGTACATAGGACACCCTAGTGACGTACTAACGGGGGATTTTTTTTTAGTGGCTATTATCTATACGTATAGTATAGGTACCTATTTTTTAAAATTCGAATTTCTTTAATTTTTAGCCAAAAAAAAAAAAAAATTAAAAATTTGTCGACACCCTGTAAATAAATCAAAAAAAACTTGAATAACAGCAGTTATTACGTTTATTTCTCGTTAAAAACGAAACATGTCCGAACCATTTTGATATAAAGGAAATTCTCCTTCTCGTTATACTTATAATAGTATAAATAAACTAATTAATGATAATAATGACTATAAAATTTCAATAATTTTATTGGTTAATCGAATTATAAATTGCTTATACAAAAACTATAGATTTAAAATTGGAATTTTGTTTTTTTTTTTTATTTGTTTTACGCCTATAGGTATGTACCTATACATAATACAATATTTCAAAATTCAATACCTCATTTCTTGGCAAAATTGTAACGTACGCCACTGATATACCCCTAACGTGACTATTGGGGTTTTCACCGTCAGAGCGAGACGCCTTTACGTTTCATAAATATAAATGTTTGACGATTGTTTTATGATTTTATATACATTAATTTTTTCCTCTACTTTCCCAACTACAACAGTGCTCACTCATGCAGCAGAGTATGTCCGTATCTTTTTTTTTTTTTTGATAACTTGGTTTAAAAATAATCGTAGTTAGATTCAGAATTTTCAAGGACCGCAATATTTTCCCTGAATATTTTAAATATCCCATTCTAGCCATTTTAAAATTTTCAAAACATCCTGTCAGTATCTGACAGTATTTTTTTTTTTTTTTTTGGCAACTCAAAAATATTCAAAAATTTAATATAAAATTCTCGTCATGAGTCATGTTTTTATACGGCACTATGGAATATATTGTTATCGATTTCTCGAGCCGAAAAGACGCGGACAATAATAACTGTACCTAATTAATTGTCTCGTACCAATAGCTACAAATCAATGCAATCATTTTCAATTAAAGTCTGTCAAAACATATTTCGCCATACGCTAATTTCGTCTCAAAATCGTTTTTTTTTCTTTGTCAACGATTTATCGTCGTGAAAACATGTACATAAACTAAATAATTACTCTGTACATTTCCTAATGTCTCTTATACGGTTTTACGTTTGTGACGTCAGGTTTAACATTTCATTTCTAGCAATTTGCCAACAAAACAATATTGTTAATTTATTTGAGTGCATTTGTACTTGAAGGTAGAACGATATTTTTATTCACTTTTAATAATTGATTTCATTTCGTCGTGTGTGTGACGTGCAGACATCATCGCATTGTAATATAATAATTAATTAATAACGGGACATTGATATTTACATGAGCAATTTATGTAAGTCATATGCATGCACACATATTACCACAAACAGAATACGGATATTTGCCAGCGGCTAAAGTGGCAAAAACTTCGAAGGGAGACTAATTTACCGAAAATGTATAGGGGCGTTCCCGAAAACTGACAAAACCGAACCAAACTTTCTGGAAACCCATCATCACGGATGCAAGACTTCCAAATTGTTTTTCACATACACACACATACAAACACACACACATCTGCTCATAATAATGTTTTACCAATAAAGTTTGAAAACAAATTGCATCCCTCGCTCTCAAATATTATCCTACGCGTACAGTAAAAATACAATAAAACTTAGTCTCTGACTACGTACAATCTTATAGACATCTATTTTAATAATTCGCGGTTTTAAAATTTCATTGAAAATGTCTCAGTAACAATAATACTAAAGCGTCCTCCGGCACTAAAACTAATCAAACTAAAAGAGACTGATACTATTTTACCTTAAATAAGAAGAGGTTTCGTCCCCATACGTTTCTTTTACCACTGGATTATATTATATCTATGCGGTTATGAAATAATGTATTCAATTTTTTACACTAATATTTTAATATAACAAATCCGATGCTCGATTGCCTTTACAGAAGTAATACAGGACGAGAATATATTATACTGCTATGCTCCCTAATGTATTTGTAAGAAGGTTTGTTGTGTCCAAACAATCACACAGCCCATCAACACCGTCAAGATATTGCTTACGGTGTGTCCACTAAGAACAATTGGTAAATTATTGAATTAGTTTCACAGCTGACCGGGGAAAAGTCTAACGGTTAATGGAAAAATATTGTCTGTCAGGTCGTAAAGCTTTTTTTTTTTTTTTTAAAGAAGGAATGAAGGGTCCCAGTGGACGTGCAGTAGATATTCAACTGAAAAATGTCTTCCATTAGCAAGTAACTTTTATACTTGAGGTGTTGAAAAACAAATACAATATAGTATATTATATTGTATAAAATTACGGTAACGCGTATTAAAATCAAAAATAGTAGGTACCTCTACATTATTGTCTTTTTGAACGAGACTCGTGGGTTAGGTACTGTTATAGTGTACCGTTAACGGGACAAAGGCTGAAAATAATATAATATTATTTTTTATACAACAATGTCTGAAAAACTTAAATTCAATTAATATACTCAAAGAGCAGCGTAACAGAATTGGTTCTTGGTAAAAATATCATTCTAATATAGCCTATATTATTATTTTAATACAATACCGTGCTTGAATTTTCGTATCATAAATTCGATTAACGTGTTGACGATATTGATAGCTCCTGAAATATAAAAAAAAAAAAAAACAAAAAAAAAAAATTGACTAAGAATATTAAGACTACGATCACTTATTGAACATTTAGTTTTCAGCAACCGTATTGCAGTACGTCATACTGTTTATTACGTCTCGTGGTGTATGTTTTTGGCGCGGATATTTTTAATGTCTTTGTAATATTATAATATTATAACACTGTACCGCGGGTTCGTCAATCAAACGTGAGTGCGTTCGCCTGAAAAGATACTGAATACTCTATTTCCTCCCCTTTCGTATCGTACGATACGAATCTCGTGCAGCCGCAGCCCGCGCACTGCAGTTTCTATTCAAATCGAATCCATTAAAAAAAAAAATCGCTGTTGTATTTATTATATCGTCGGGTATCACATCCATGTCGGTAAAAAATACCAATATAATGCGTTCTTGCGATAAACTAATTTATTTTGATTTTTTGATTATAGTTGGGTGTGTTTAATTGTAAATACACACTGCACGTTTAGCGTTGGAATTTGTCCAATAACAATGATAGCACGTGAGAGTAACAAAACTTTTACACAAACCTAATATGTATTATTATTATTATGTTTATTTATAAGGTGTGATTTTAGATTAATAGTGGAGCGGGGAAGCGCATGGTTTTACAATGATGTTTATTTTATTTTTTTTTCTGTGGACAAACTTTCTACCAGCAGTTTTGCTCCGATTTACAACGCTATCAATTTTTCTGAAAGGAAATCGGATTGGGGAGGTACTTTAGGGAGGTAATTTTTTGATTTCGTTTTCCTGATAAATGGGAATGACATGTTAAAAAAACGGGAAAACAGGTGCAATATGAAAGAAATATTATTGAAAAAAAAAAAAAAAATGTTCAATGGCTATCTCACTGAAATATGGCATACACATATTGTTTACAAAGTGACTTCGCTCGAAATCGTTTTTTTCGTTATTAACGGCCAATCGTTGCTTACGGACGTACATCGAATTCCCCCGTCTGTGTTCCGCCTTTCCAACTTTCCGCCTGCGTACAAATGCGCGCGGGCAATAATCGTAATGCGGTTTTTTCGATTATACGCGGAAAATACCGGAACGATAAATATTATAAAATATTACATTCTCTCGGGCATCGACGACGGCGGTGTAGCCGAAATGACGGCTTACTGTACGGTTCGTCGTGTACGCGGCGCAGCTACCGGCTGCAGTGCTTATGCACGCACGCAGGTAATACGGGCGATTTCGAATTAAACCGTTTTCAACAAGTTATGGTCGGTAGGCGTATCGAAACCGAAAAAGTTCCCCGGGACTTGTAAAATAATTACGCGACGCAAACTCCGCGGAGCGAACGGTAAAATATATAACGTGATTACGTACGTATATATAATAATAATAATAATAATAATGTAAATATCGCGCGTTACGGAATATCGTTATGACGAAATCTGCAGCGGGCCGTCGGGGAGGCCGGTTGTGTGGTGGTGGGGGGTGGGGTGTGAGGAGGGGCGCGCGCGACGCGGGCGAAGAAATGCTCCGTCGAAAGCTGTCGCCGAACGAGTTTCGGCGCGGGATTAAGACGCCGCCGCCGTCGTCCACGCTACACGCGCGCCGCACGCGTAAACCCCGAGAGACGGTACGCGGGTGCCGTGATTATCATAAATTATCTTTGTTCGAAAACATAATAATAATAATGATAAGCACGATACGAGCGAGGTGTGCGCGAGACGTCGTCCCCCGTTTAAAAATAAAACACACGGCGTTGTCTATTAATATTCCAAAGGCGATACCCATTAATACGGATAAACCACCGCCCCCCCCCGCCCCCCC